TGTGCGGCTCCGCGGCCGCCTCCGCAGCCGGCAGCGGGCGGGGTACCGGTGACAACGACTTTCCATTGCGACTGCTGCTACGCTGTAACGTCCTTGCACTCCCAAAGTGCATTACCGGCGGCTTAACGGACTCCTTCTTTAGCAACTCGCGGCGGCGGCGCATCGCCTCTTCACGGTGCACCTGCTGCGAGCGCGTCTCCATAAGGAAGCGGTGGTGGGGCTGCTGCTCTGGCATCTCTAATGTCTACAGGCACATACAGAGAAAGTGCAAACGAAAGGAAGAGAAGAGAAACGATCTGTAGAAGTGCGGCAATAAGCTTCCCTGCAGCAAAAGCAACAATAACACAACGAAGAAAAATATAACTGATGAGGCCATACAATAACCGCAGCCACATCATAAGCACAAGGCGTGCTTACTCCCTCTCTGCGGGATGACGCCCCTCAGTGACAGACTCATGCGCCGTGGGGTCAGAGATGCATAAAGCGCTCGTAGAGCACAAAGGTCAGCACCGAGCGTGGTACTGACTGCAGAAAGGCCGGTATTATGCCTCGGTAAATGCCTCGCACACCATGTCTTTTCCAGATGAGCACCACCGACTGAACGAGTGAAACGTACTGCAGCTCGCCACAACGACTTCTGTGATCCTGCAGACGGGTCTTCAAGACATTAATTGGGTGAGCAGCCACCGTCACACATGCCTTCGCTACGGTGGAACAGACGCAAACGTCTTGGGTGCTCAGACTGTCTCGGCATGTACGCTGCAGACGGTAAAACTTGAAGACTTCGTAGAGGGGAAAGTTAAGAGCGTTCGGCAGGCCGAGGAGAACCTGCGCGGAAACGCCGCGCCACAACGAGCAAAAGCCGGTGCTCCGAACAGCGAATACCGTCCCACGAATAAAGGACGAGTAGTTCCCAGTACTGCCGTGGGAGCTCCCCGTCGCAAGCTCTTCGAGCTGCATGCGGGTCTTGATAAGCCAAATGGGGTTGCAAACAAGCGCCGAGGAGCAGCTGGCAACAGCGGAGAGAAGCGAGCAACGCACGAAGTCTTCCATTCGTCCCTGCCCGTCACGTGACACCAACGCCTCGCTAGCGGCACAGAGAGACCGATAGAGGTACATGTAAACACCCCACGCCACGACGGCGCCGAGGACCGCCACATGGCACCCGCGAAACAATGCCCGCAACCCCTCCTCGCGGTAAATGGCTGCAAAGGCCTCACTGATTGAACGATATGTCTGTCGGTTGTGCTGGCGCTGCACGGTGCCATCTTGCGACATGAAGCGCATCTTGACAACATCAATTGGATACAACACAATGGTACTCACGCCACCAGCAGCCTGTGTTGCAACTGTATGGGTAATGACTGACGCCCGCTTTTGCTGCTGCTGATGGTGCTGCTCTGGCTTCGCAGCATCGACTACTCTCACAGTCATTTATATTGGTTTGGTGTAGTCAGCCACGTTTGGTCGCAGCCCTACCACCCGTCACCAGACGAGTCTTCACTCTCCCTGTATCTACAGCAATGAAGGGGTGGGAGCGGGGTGAGTAACCGGAGCTCACTGAGAAACACCTGAACATCCTCTCATTGAGGCATTTCCTTGAATAAGGAGCAGTTAGAGTAAATGCCAGGAAGCATTTGGTGCAATTGCCATCAACACAACATTTGAAAATCCTCCGCCTTTAAGTCATCATAAAGTTTGCGTGCCAATATCACCCTCTTCACACTTATTTCAATATATTCTCCCGTTTTTGCATAGCGTCATTGCTGACTATATACCGTTTTTTTTTCTTTAAACGTAGCGACAAGTTAACCCCAAAAGTTTTTCGTACAACACGAAGTAGGTGACGGTGCGTGGGAGCGAGTGCACCAGTGAGGTGCCCAGCCCCCGCAGCATACCGCACGGCCCCTCGCGTCGCAGGACAAGAAGCACCGAGCGTCGCACGCTAGTGTACTTCACATCATTGATGTCAGAACGTTGGTCCTGCAGCCGCACCTTCAGCATTGTAATGGGGTGCGACAGTAGCACTAGCAACATCTTTGTCAGCGTCGAACACACCGACGACCCGAGAACACTCAACTCGCTGTCCCCTGACGACTGACAGAGGTGAGCCCGCAACATCATCCCCTTCAGGAAATCGTACGTAGGGACGTTGAGCGCATTGGGAATCATAAGTGTCAACTGAAGTGATATCCCACGCCAGAGCGAGCGGAAACCCGTTGTTCGCAGCACATGGCACACACCCCCGCGAAACGTGACGTAATTATTTATCTTGGTTGACTCTTCAATTTGCATGCGCGACTTGATCAGCCAAATTGGCGACGATATGAAAGTAGAAATGAAGCTCGCCACGAAGGACATACCAGCACGGCCCAGATATGACGACACCTCTGAAACACTACACAGAGAGCGATAAAGATACATGTACATACCCCACGACATGATGGCGCCAAGTACTGCCACGTGACAACCATGAAACAGAGCCCGCATTCCCTCTTCGCGGTAAATGGTCGACAGGGCTCTTCTAATTGAGTGGTACGTCTGTCCGTTGTGCTGTCGATGCACAGTGCCGTCCTGTGACATGAAGCGGATTCTAAGCGTGTCGAATGGATAGAAGGCAAACGTGCTAACGGCAGAGGCGAACTGCGAAGACAGAGTGTGAGAAAGTGGCGATGCCTGTAGTGCCACACCTTTGGCCGGGGCAGTGGTCTTGTCCTTGATATTGTCACAGCAGGTGGAGGGTCCATTGCGTGGAGTGGCAAGCATCACTACTGCAGTGTGCACGCCGTGGGAATGTGTAGTCAACGGCTACCCACGCAAACACAAATAGATGAAGGGGGAGAGAAACGGTGGAGTAAATTGGCAGGGGCGCTTTTTGTTTGGCGTTTTATGCATATATATATATATATATATATAATAGAAAGAAGAAACGAAACACAAAGAAAAAAAATGCAGGAGGACCGGTGCAGGTACCACAGGACTGCGGCAGGCATAGCATTAAATCAAAAGAGAGTCAACGACGAGAAAGAAGGGATGGGCGCAGCTATAGGCATCACACACATAACAGCTTCTCCACCTCACGCAGACAACCGCCTCACAACCATCAACACGACGCTCACAGTGCTGTGAAACGGAAAACGCNACAGGACTGCGGCAGGCATAGCATTAAATCAAAAGAGAGTCAACGACGAGAAAGAAGGGATGGGCGCAGCTATAGGCATCACACACAACACACACATAACAGCTTCTCCACCTCACGCAGACAACCGCCTCACAACCATCAACACGACGCTCACAGTGCTGTGAAACGGAAAACGCTCCCCGTTTTACTCTCATTTTAATTATAGTGCCGCTCTGTGTTATGGAAATAATAATAGTGAGTAAAAAGCCCTTGACTTCCATCCTCGTCGACTGCTGAGAGAAGCAAAAATAGGGGACTACTGCGCCGTCACTCTGGTAAAGGCGTAACCAGGAATGGTCGCCTCCCGCAATCGTCGCTCCTCCTCCGCCTGCAGACGGTTCTCCTCCTCCGCACCCCACACCTGCACCTCGATGAGAAAGTCCGCGAAGCGTCGCTGGAACTCCGTCTCATCACGGTACGATTCGTATGCTGCCGTCACAAATTCCGTTATTAATGTCTCTGTGAGAGTAGGAATTATGGATAGGCTCTCCACAAGAAACCCCTGAACTGCGTTGCGGCCAAGCACTGGTGTCTGCGGGGGAAACGCGTCGGACACCGTGAAGAGCTTAATGAGGATGCTGCAGTGCAGTGTGAATCCCGCAGCGTGCAGCGAGTCCATCGCCGCCACAAGCACCTCGACAAAGATACGCTGCATGAAGGAGGTATAGAAGGCCTCTAGCATTTCAGAGGTGGAAATATTGGCGAGAAACGAGTCCAGTGACTGGAGCCCTGTCTCCATCGTTGCGAAATCTGTGTGCTTTATCACCCACAGCATACCATTGATGATGTCCTCCTTGGTCGACGCATATCTCAGGAATGCAGAGAAGCAGCACGTGTTGAGCGCCTGAAGCAACCTGAACAAATTAACACGGAAATCCGGATAATCCTCGACGTTCGTGCAGATCATCGCTACCGTGGTATCAAATGTGTGGTCGAGAATAGCCGCACAGTCCCCACTGAGGCGTGCGCCTAGTTTTTTCACACACGCTGTGACGAGTGCCATGGCGCCTGGTTCCTTCGCCTCCGGGAGGGAGTCCCGGTAGTCCTCCAGCACCACCGACAGAATACTCGGCATGCAATTCGTCGCCACGAAGTCGCGCTCCTCCGTATTATCGACAAAACGCTCAAAAATACGAAGAATCTCCTTCTTCGCCAGACGCAGGTGTCGCACGTCTTGATGCGACACAGAATTTCGTCCAAGCTCCGCCACCAGTGTATTGTGCGCAGTGAAGAATGTACGGTAGAAGCCTTGAAGGTCCCAGATGATAAGCCCCATTTCACTTATGAATGCGGTCCCGCATGTGCTAGCGATGCTGCTGAACACCCGCAGCGTGTGTATCAGTTCCATCATGCTAGAAGAGTCCCGGCAGAACGTCGCGCCCTGCGCCGCCGCGCGTTCTGTTATACCCTTAAAGTTAATGTTAACATCCCGCAAGAACAATTCCAACAAGGCGGCTTGTTTTTCTGTCGACTCACTACGAATCATGCAGCCGGCCGCGGCAAAGCAAGTCTGCATTTGCTGCGGCTGCAACAAGGAGATTATATCAGTCCACTGCCCCGCAATTTCTTCTGCTATGGAAGTAGTTCTGTTGTTCAACGAAACAAATTTCTCTGGTATATGCGACACAATCTTCATCAGCGTATCTACCGCCATCTCCTGTACCCCAGGAAAGAGTTCTTTCATGAATTCAATTATTTTCCGTACCACTGTACTTAAAAAGCTGGGGTTATTTTGGAGAAACCGCGGGTATTGACCAACAACAAACATGATATTACTCGCAATAACGGCACGGTTTTCTTTCCCCTGCATCTGTTTGCAAAGGTCAAGGAGGCCGCGGATAATGGTCACAAAGAGCGATACCTCTTGCTCCTCCGGCAAAGACATAGAGACAGCTCCCACTGCCCAGGACAATGTGCTGCAGTTGTGCCAACTCCATTCACTACGGTCCAATTGTTTTTGCATGAGCCCCGTCATGATCTGCTGTGTATCGTATGGGTCTAGATTCGTTAAGAATACAAGTGCCTCCCGCATCAAGTTGTACATTTGAAGTCCTTCCACGTCCGACATGTGTTCACGGCGAAGTTCACCATCCTCCTCAACGATGATAACTTCCTCTGGTTTAGCCATTTTCTTAATGAGAACAGAGCGCACGTTACTCAGCGTTGTTGAGAGTTTCTTATAGAGTGGAGTGAGTGACAAACAGCGCAGCATCTTTTCCCCAAGATGCCACCAGTACTCTACACAAGACTTGAAGAGTTCCTTGTCGTCAATATAGCTCATGCCTAGTAGCATTTGGTGCGAAGAGATCAACAGAATGTCGTCGTATATTATCTGCTTGGTATAACGCTTCAGAAATGTAATAACGAGAAGATTCAAATCGCGAACGAAACTACCTTCCACGTCGGTTCCCATCTCATAAAGGTGCACAATACGTCCTTCAATCGAGGAGTGCGACGTCGGTAAGGCATTCACAATGTTGTTAAACGCTGTGCGAAACACTCGAACTGCCATCTGCGTCTGTTCGTCACCCACCGCTCCTTCATCAGTGTCGATGGAGCAGACAACTGTGAGGCAACGCACGGCAACTGGCGCGATGCAGGTGTCAGCGACAACAAGGTTCGCCATGTACATCAAAACCTCCTCGTTAAAAACAAGCGCTGGCTTCATCCACGAGAGGTACTTCTCCATGCATTCCAAATCGGTCTTTAGAAGCACCTGGTCAGTGGTCCCGAGGACGGACAGGCAAAGCTGCAGAATCAAGCGAAAATCAGACTCTAATGCCTCCTTCTTCCGTTTTACCCATCGGGAAGTCAAAGTCTTTTCACTAAACTCAAAAATCTCCTCACCAACAAGACGTAGTAAATTCAAGTTGTTCTCTACGAGTGGTTCATTAGGCCCAGCGCTAGAGCAGATGTCTTGAATAAAGTTAGGCCACCGCACCGGCCATTCCCGTTTGGCTATAGAAACCAGTGCACTGTTCATCTTGGTGAGAAGTGCCTTTCTACTACGCATACGATTGAGGTTTCCACACTCACCAACAATCAGGCTTACCACAAAACTACGAATTTCCTCCCGTTGGTCGTTTGTAAAAGTATTCCAGCGGTGTAATATGGCATCCTCCAGCACCTGAATGGCAAAGAATCGCGTAGTTAGGTTCTGCGAGTTCGTCAAGAGGGCACCAACGTGAAGAAAGGCATCCGGTTTCTCCTTGAATGCACTGAGAACCTCCTGCGCCTTCATAATCTCCTGCGGGGACCCCGTAGAGAGGTACTGCACCACCTCGTCAAAACGCTGCACATCCACCGGTTTGCTGAAATCAAGGATGGCCTCCATTCGTTTCTAACGTATGCTTGTTAAGGCAACACAAAAAAAAAACTGGGGGAAAGGATAATATCGAATTCGTGGGGGATACGGAAGAGAGGACGTTGTTACAGAGTCACCACACCACATGTCTCACCTTCTTGCTATTAAATTCGTCCCTTCCGTTGTGCGCAAATAGGGAAGAGAAGGGGGAAAGGAGGATGATGGCCAAAGTTGGGCTTTGACTACATCAATTACGTAAAGAAAACTTGATCTTCAGCAAGAGCAGCCACAGTGAGTTCCATCGTTTGGCCCAGCACACACGAGAACACGACGGACGAAAACAAAAAAAAAAGGCGTCCACAACACTAACCACGACTTCGTGCACTCAATTGGCCCATTGATTTTGTTTTTGTTCTTCTTTGCAACCCAAGCGATCACCCAACAAATATGCCGTAAATTTTTTTGCATTTGTCGATGACCGGCAACTCATCAGGGCCAGCTTGATATTTTCCGGGGCATTTCTCAAGCATACATTCGCGACACACAACATCAATATGAGGAATGTGGTCAATGATCTTTTTAGAAGACGTGACATTGTGTCCCTCTTTCTCTCTATCTCTCTCTCTCTCTGTGTGTGTATGTATTGATGAAATGCATGTGGCAGGAGCCGCTGTAAGAGCTGAACCACATGACGCCATAGGCATCCAGAACAGTCCCCGCGTGACACAGCAAACGGCAAGAGGGACGCACGCACACACACATCCACACAAACACGCATACATACATACATACATACACTCAAGCGCACGAGTTTAACTTCGGAAAAAAGATGGCTTCACCATAAAAGACTGTATAAGCAACCAAAAGGATCCACCACGAGAAACATCCGCCTCTTCTTGCTCGCTCAAATCATATCAGAAGTAAAACTTTGGCAAAAGCAATGAGACCCTAAGACACAAGCGTATACCTTTGAGACTCTGTAGTGTGTCTTAGTGCATGACTGACATTTTCTTCTCAGTCTCGTTTTTTTTTGTCTTCTTTCTTTCGTTCTTTTCTGTCCTTTCCATCCCTTTACGTTAGCAGAAAGGCACCACATCCCTCATCGATTGCCTGACGTAGCTTCTGTTCCATCTGCTCCTTGTTTTCGTATGCCGGCAGCTTCAAATAGTTCTGGCACGTCATGGCGGAGGGAAGCTGATCCTGTTCCCGAACCTTACAATCAGAAGAGGTCTTGCGCACAATCGTAAACTTGGGCTGCATATTTGCGAGGCCCCCTACTGGCAGGTGCGAGGAGCCCGTGAGGAAGAGGAAAAAGCGGCGTTGCTCCTCCTCGTCAAAGGAGGCGATGATTTCAAACAACTGCCGTACATGGCAGCACGTCATGGTGTAACCATGGTCTGCGTGGCAGTTCGCCTCCAGCTCCTCAACAGTAACAAGTCCTGCATGGCCGTGGATAGCTTCGTGTAGCTCTGCCACGGTAAGCATCCGCAGCGCGTAGAGTGGGATATAGTCGTGAAAGCCGCTACGAAGAGCCTTTAAGGCGTGCTCCACGCCAGCACGAAGCATAAATGATGTGACAGCATCACAGTAATCAAGAAGATTCTTCGAGGTCACTGGTATGTTTGCGCCGCCCTTCTTCAGCTCAATGAGGCCATCTCCAGGCAGTGTGTAGTCGAGCAACAAATCCTCCACCGCACAGGGCGCTGCAGAGCCCGACAGCTGAACCAACGCGGCACCACTGCGGGCCGCAGTGGCGAGCGCCACAATCGACGCGCCAAGTGACTCGCTGATGTCAACCAAATCATACACCCCGCACTCATCACCTCTAAGCATCTTCAGCAGCACTGGCGAAAGCGAAATGGTGAGAATACGCCTGTCTAACAGCGCCCGCGCCAGGAAGCGGCCTAGCAGGCGAAAGTACGGCTCGACTCGCGCGATCTCGCGCGAGTCGGGCGGCAATGGAAGCGGGTACACACCGTTGTGGGGCCTGAAATATTTTTCATCTGGCGTCTCGTCCGTCCGGCGCCAAAGGCCAAGGTTTATCTCACGCAGCTCATCCGAGACAAGTGAATAGAACTCCATTGTTGGGCCACTTCCACTCCCATTTTCGTTGTAGTACTCAAACTCCAGCACCACAGACCCACTGGTACGCCCACCCCCAAATATCTGCATAGCACACGTCAAGGCTTTATCTCGCCATACACGCTTCTTCGCGCGGTGCAAACGATACGTTCGCAAGAACTGATGATCCATATTGAGAGAATCCCGCACCCCGTACTTTTCCATGTTCTCCTGCATCTGCACAAGGGAGCGGAGTGTGCCACAGAAGCTCACCTCAAATAGAAATTTCCGTGTGGTCGAAGTGAACAAGAAGTTACAGTCAAGCGCTAGGTTGACGGCCCAAGTAGAGAGATGTTGACCCGCGAGGAGGAGGTTGGAGCAGTGCCGCATGGCCTTGTTGTTCAGCTTTTGATGAATGAATTCACCAAGCGCGGTTGACGGCGACCATACATCTGCACTTAAAGTGCTCTCTGAAGAGGATCCCATGCGGTACCTCAGGAGCTCTGACCAGTTTTGCAGCGCCTCATAAATGATGCCTAGAAGAGTCAGCACATCCTTCTGCGCGATGGTGAGGAAGCGGCTGCTAAACGGAAACTTCTGGTGTAATGCACGCATCACGTCCAAAATCGCCGGTGGACGGATGTCTTCCGATGGCAACTTTACAACGAGAGTGTCTGCCGGTGTTCCACACGGGACGGTGAATACTGGTGATTCCATGGTGTACTCAGTGCCAAACGGCGCTGTGCTGTAGTGGAGTGTAACCATATTTTCCATGTTATACGGTGCTTCTTCCAGCATGGCAAGAAGATTATAAGATGGTGTTCCGTCACCACGGCCGGTCCTCCTTCCTGCTCTCGACGAACAAGATGGGGCGTGGAACTGCTGAAGTACCTGCAATATGGTCATTGACGGTGGCAATACGTGGGAGCCATGACGGAGATATACACGTGGCACTGGCCTTTCCTGCGCCCCCTTTTTCGCCTGCACGCGTTTCTCAGTCTTGTCATGGTTGCCCAATTCTGGAAGCACATCCTCTATTTGTTCTTCATCCTCCATACGACGACGGCCCATGTTGCCTCCAGGGAGCACATTTGACCCAACAAATGACATGAGTGCCTCTATGTCCGTCAGTGGCTCAACGCTCACAGTAGCTTCGCGTCCCTCTTGGGAGCTCCTCGATGTGGATGACGGAACAGTGGCATGCCCCGACGAGGAAGGTTGCACAAGTGATGATGTTAGTGTAGTTGTAGTGCCTGTTCGTGCTGACGGTGCACGGGCAGGGCGCCTCGATGAAGCCTCTTTTGAGGCAGCTGTTGCAGGCGGCCCCCTCATCGCAGCACCTTTGGACGCAACGACGGTCCTCTGCGTTGGTGCGTCACTCGAGTGCGGAACGAGGCGCACTGGGATTTGCATATGAATGCTGTTCACACTACCAAAGCTGGGAGCATGAAACTGATCCAACTGCGACAGAACAGTTTGCAGGTGACGCACAAACCGCGTCAGGGCACAAGGACCATTCCCTACCTCTTTTGCCAAAGTTCTCACGAGATCAATCACGACATTGACGTCGTTAGCACGCGTCAATATATCACGAAGTTCATGTAACATGTTGCTGGATGAAAGTTCAAAAGAGGTAGTCTCTTCAAGAAGTGCCAGCCGAAGGGTATCAAAGGCCTCCTGGAGGGAGCCGTCCTGTAACAATCGCATAACTGTAGTGAGCCGCTCGCTCCGTGTATCGTCGCTGAGAGCGGGGAACATGCTCAGCAGGCTACCCGCCTCCGATGCAACAAACTCACGCCACTCAGATGTGGTATGGAGCCGCTCGCTCGATGAATTCGTCTCTTCAGCCTTGCCATTACCGCCTCTTACGGCCGGCTGATTCGACTTTTGAATCTTTGCCAACGTATTTGTGACACCCTCACGCATAAATGCTGATATGTAAACCGAAGGCAACTTATCCAGCAACTTGCGGCAAAGCGGCATCACTTGTGCATTCAATACAATACTGGTGTCTGTTAATGCCGCCACAATCATCTCGCACACAGCAGCCTCCGCAAGTCCACTCTTCAGCAGCTTCTCCGCTGAAGCCATGTAGACAGCCCGGTCAATGAATGCCAAACTGTGGTGGCGCACAACATGTGTCTCTGATTCGTTGAAAAGTGCAACCATCTTGGGCAGTCCTCTGAGGATAATGACAAGTAGATGCGGGTAATTCCTATACAGATTCTCACGCTCAGCGTTGACGACGTCAATGGCGTCACCCTCCTTCACCCTTTGAGCTCCCGGTGGTGTTCTCACACCTTGAATTACTTCACCCATATCACAGAAACTGTGCTGTAACGAGTTTCCACTGTGCTCCTTCCAATTCATCAACAAGCACTGCCCACAGTAGTCGAAGTCAGAACATTTGTTGCAGCGGAACCAATCCCCAGGCCTGCACGACTTGCCACAACTGTCGCATACATGTGCTATGACACATTTTGAATATTGTGTATTCTTCTCGAGCGCAATACCTTCCTCAGTAATGCGCATACGCATCTCCTCGTGGTTGAGGGTCTCTTCTACCTCCTCCTCATCGTTATCCTCTTCGTCGTAATTAGCATCATTGAAAAACAGTCCACCCTGCAATTGCGTCCCTCGCGTCCGCTCCTCAACCAACTCGGTGAGGACGTGACCAGGAGGAAGATTACTTTCGGTGACCTTCGGCAGTAGCCCTGCGAGCGCGACACAAATGTTCTTAGTCTGCTCCATCGTGAGCCGTCGCTCGCGCACCACTCCTGTTGCTGCTGACGTTAATGCTGGCGGCGGCCGCACCAGTGGGCTGCTTGTGAAGGATGCAGCCGGTGCCTTGGCAGGGAGAAGCGTTGGGCTCATCGAAGGTGAGCGCAGCTGCTCCGAGGCGCTTGTGGTAAGGGCGAGTAGACACTCTACGAGGCCACTCTCAATGATGCGGCGGGTGACCTCTGTGCTGTGCGAGATACCCACACCAATGAGCGAGAGCGCAATGGAGAAAGTACTCTCCGGAATATCGCCCCGCGTGAGAAGCTCCAGCAGCGGCATGCAGACATCACCAAAGGCGCTGGCGACGAGTTTTTGATCGGTGCGAACACCCAGGATAATACGGTAAAGACAAGTAATGACCTTCTCTGCGATCTTCCCGTCCGTGTGGTTGACGCGTGCCCGAATCTCACCTAAGGAGTCACTCACATGATGAAACGACAACACGTCCACACGACGGCACATCGCCGCCACACTGGTCCACGCCTTGCGCTGCGAAGAGGAGCTAAAAAAATCAACATATATCAAAAGCGCCTTGGCACCGCCCTTCTGGAGCACCATCACAGCCCCATTTGTATTTTGAGTGATCTTCTCCACACAAGTTAAACACTGCTCCGACAGCTCAATATCCTTAACTTCTTGCAGATGAAGAAGAATAGCCTCCACGCCACCCTCCGATCCCAGCACGTACACAGTTGAGCTAATTGCATCTACCAGATATGTCAGCGCACGTGCAGCTAGTATCATCAGATCAATATTGTCCTCTTTCCTGAGGCAGTTCAACATAGATGGAACAAGTACATTCGGTCGTATAAAACCGATTGTCATTGAATTCCCCATGCTGAGCATATTACAAAGCTCGTTCAGGCCTGCTATTTGACGGACTTCGTCATCACTACTAATGTTCTCCCGCATGGTCGCTATCTCCTTCGTCGCCTTCCGCTGTGAGACGCCGCTCTCCGCGTCCATGATTAGGCGGCTGAGAAAATGCTCCATTTCCTCCTTGTATTTTTTTTTGTGTGTTTGCCGCCGCAACTCTCTCTTTTGCTTTTTTGCTCTTTTGCTTCCTCTTTCTCTCAATCTACCCCTGTGTGTATTTTATATATGTCTGTGTATGTGTGTGTGTACGAGTGAGCCTTGCTTTGTCCTCTTGGCTCCCTAATTGTACTCCCCTCAATTCCTAGAATTTTTCGTTACCCACTTTTTCTTTTGGGGTGGGGTGTAGGGTTCGTGTGTGGGCCACGTAGTTGTGCGCTTCCGGTCCCTCACCAATCAGTGTGCGACACCTTGACAGCCCACAGGGTTTGCGTGTGACGGTGCACCGTCGTCGGGAAATAGAAACAGGGAAAGCGAAAAAAAAAAAGACACGGTGATGCATTGCGCATCCTCGCACGCTGCCCGAAGCGTCTTCAACAACAGCACTGGAGGAAGTCGCAGCGCAACAGCATATATATATATGGAAGGAGAGAGAGATATCAAGGAGGAAATACAAATATGGCTTCACGCCATCACGCCACCAGTCGCCGTATCCGTTACCACGAGCTACCGTTGCCCCCTACATCCCGCCACCCCAGCTACCACGCGTTGTGCACTACGAAAGGTCAAAAACAAAAAAAAAAAGACTAGAGCGGCTGCCTCTACTAGTACTACTACCACTGCTACTACTACTACCACCACCACCACCATAAACTCCACCCACTACGCCGACTCCTTTGCATCCGCCGCTGCCTTCATCGCCTGCTCGCGGCGAATCTTGCGCATGATCTGGTAGTGCCAGTGTTTGTTCAAGCCCTTTTCCGCCGCCGCATCAAACTCCTCCCTGGCGCGCTCCTCTCCACCGACGCCCCACGCTGGCATTCTCATGCCGCAGCTGTCGTCACCGCGGAGCCACTGTTTCTTCGTCCAGTTAAACACAAATGGGCCGTAGACGTACCACTTCCACATGGACACCTCGCCGTCACGACGGGCGTAGTTTCGCCGCTGCACGTAGATCGAGCGATCATACGACTCCGCACTCCAGTCAAGCCATGAGAAGAATGCTTTTCCCGCTTCACTTGTCGGTCTATCACAGAATCGTTTGAAGTAAATGTCCTTGTCAAGATTCCACTNGCCATGAGAAGAATGCTTTTCCCGCTTCACTTGTCGGTCTATCACAGAATCGTTTGAAGTAAATGTCCTTGTCAAGATTCCACTGAAAATGACAAGTAAAGGTATCGTCATACTTGATATCCTCCATGCTTACCAAGCCACCACGGCTGTAGTACGAATACACCTCCATCATTGTGGGAGGAATCTGGTAAAGAAGATACATCACCGCGAAAGGGATCCAGGCGGTATCAAAACCAGTCATCTTGTCACTCTAATCACTTTGCGCTTCTTGTGAATACACGAGCACGTCGGGTACGGAGAAGTACGCTGGATGTGTTTGTGTGAATATGGTGTGTTTGGTGCCACGCCAGTGACCATAGGCAAAGCAGAGAATGAAGGAAAAATTGAGTGAGTCGGATGGAAACAAAAACAGCGAGACACCGATCGGAAATCACCACACGTGTCATCCTTGGAAGTGTGCTTCTCAGCATCTCTCTCTCTCTTCCTCTCTTTAGTTTAGTGAGCGTCCTCTCCCTGTGTTGTGTGTGTGTGTGTGTGTGTGTG